GACGTAGGTGGAAACAAAATAACATCACTTAAAATAGTAATGATAGTCGTTTTGTTCAAAGAAGGTATAAATAGTCTGTTATATTATTTAAGAAGTAATTTAGTGTAATGCTACTTGTAGGTTTACTAGTTTGGAGTAATTACATATCCTAATTTATTAACTGCAGTATTCTCGAATACTCATATAGTAATTAATTTAATTTGAATGTAGGATATGGCATGTATATGTATGTAACATTATTTGATTTTGGCAGGAGAATAACTTTGTTAAATTATTATCTTACGGTCTATGACATAGAGATTGATTTTATGATTTATTGTAACCCACCGGGGTCCAGTGCGGATTAGTGAGTGTAAACTACTGCAGATGCAGCCGGAACTAACAGTTTAAACAAGACAAAAACAAGAAAAATAAATCAAAAGCTTGGAGGGTATAAGTGCAGTACTTTTGAAAGGCTCATGTTTCGGTTACACAGTATAGCTTTAAGACCTTTTTTATCACGTGATGCAATAAATGAACTATGTTCATAATAATATTTAGCGTCTAAAACTTTTAAATTAACATGAATTCTCGTGTCTTAATTTAAAAGTTTAATCTTGTTGCTAAAACAGTTCGTCTGTTTCAATAGAATTTCAAAAAAAATGGTAGGTTAAAACAAATGAAAACGTTGTAACAAATAAAATTTGTATGTAAATTTTACATATAATGAAAGTTTTATTAAATACAAACAAAATCAAACAATCAACTTTTAATAAAAGGACACATTAAGAAATTTAATTGAATTAGAATTCGATTAACGTGATGATGGTAATAATAAAGCTATTATTATTTCTTGCAATACTTTCTTTGAAGACTGATTTCCTAAACATGTTGAAAACCTCACCCAAGGCAATCAAAGTTGAAACCACAAGTTGGTTTATAAACATCCGTGCGTGTCACGGCATCGTACAGCTAATTGAACAAAAAATACTACACGATCCGAATCATGTCTGGTGTATTTGCAAAATTTTCAATTGAATGTTATTTACCATCTCGCTAGAATAGATGATAATATAAAAATGATTAAGTAGACCTATAAGCTAATTGCTTCCATCTATAAAATATAACTTTATGACAGTGACAACCGAGCTTCTCACAACACGAACCAAATATATTTTTCGTTTCCTTGAAATTCATAAAAATGACAAGATATTAAATAAAAATAAAATTAGAGAATAACTCTATACTTTTAGTACCAAATGTAAGTACAGACTCCTTTTTTCATTTATCATATTTAAAAAAATTTTATGACATAAAATTGATATCAAAAGACAATACAAAAGATTGTACCACGATTATCAAAACTCACACAACCAGCCAAAGTATTAAAATGAGCTCGACATTGACTGTACTAAAAAATACATTTCCATATAATTGAGATGTCGTATCAGTCAACTAACAGCCCTTAAGATTTAGCATACTACCTCCCGATTGGCAGCAACGCATTAGAAGAGGCTTTGCAACACCTCCACAACTCCCCATGTCCCCTTTTTGATAGTTAATTAAACGTCAGGCGGGAAATATTCGCGTCATTAGGAAAACTCGAGACGCCTGCAGTCGCGGCCGGATGTACCGACGCCGTCCCCCCCCCCCTCATTCCTCCCCCCTCTCCAGAGCTTCCGCCCCAGCTGACTACTAAAGGTTCTCGGGATATGAGGTTTTAGTGCAAAAGTAATTGGTGTAATATAATTTGGTTAATTAACTCGTTTATGCGTGGCTGAATTTAGGCGTGTTTTGATGAAATTAAAACGCTTTCGTTTTATTGATTATGATTTTGAACTCTATAAATTTAAAACAAACTCTGCTGCAGCGTTGCTTATTAAGAGATTGTAAAGTTATTAAGTCTTTAGTTATGTAATTTCAGGCAAAATATATTTTGATTGTAAATTAATTACGATAAAATCATTAAATTTAAATTTCCATAACGCAAAGTTACTTGGCATAAGAGTTAAACCTATAAACATTACTTATGTATTTATTTTACTACTTGATTCTTAAGATTATTTTATTTTAAGTGTTGCTAGAGTTGCACACTGATGCTAATAAATAGCAAATGTAGAACTATTCAAATACGACTCCAATCCCAAAAGGCTAAATTATTTTAATAGATAGTCTGTGAAAATATAGGATGTGTATTTTAAAGTATAAAATCTCTCTCATAATCGAGTTGCCTTAGTAATACGTCTTGTACGAACAGCCTGTGAAATAATTATTCGGCCTGCGTTGTGACAACAGACTGAGGTTTGAATTCCATATTATTTCTTCGTCTATTTGTGGCTCTTCTGAAGATTAACCATATGTTCAGCATATCTGTTCAATTCTGTAAATAAGTTATGCTGTTTTTTGTTGAAATATACAAGGGTTAATGTATTTAGTTGAAATCTGCTAACAATTAAGATTAACACTATCAATGACCTTTCTGCCGACGTATAGGTGTTCCCTGTAAAAGTAAAAACATTAAAAAATGTAATGTAGACATTCAAACGCAGTGTTTTAGTCTTAAGGTAATATCTAATAATATTCTACCTTTTTTAATCTGGATGTGAACATGACATCATAAAACTGTCATGGCGGCTATTATTATTAGCACATCAATATACCCGCATGATGCTCCGGCGCATCCGTTCTTGTGTCATTATGCCGTACCAGTAGCTTTTTGGGTAATTTCGGAAGGGTTCGAAAGTAGTAAGGAATAATTTGCAAAACTTTATGCAATAGATATTAGTAAAGGTTTAAATATAACAACTTATGATCCAAAAACATGATATTATTCAACTATTGACTTATATTAGTAACATTTTTTTCTGGCTTCTGTATATTTCTCTTTCGATCAATTACAATCTATTTTTATTCGGCACAATTTCTTCTACATGGATCATCATTTTATGTATGTCAATATTTAAGCATGAATTTTGTAACGTAATTTCTAGTTTACTAGATACGGGTACAAATATAGCGACGTTAAATAAATACCGATCTGAAGTAATTTACATACAACAAACGATATATTTTTATTAGTATTTATTCAGTTTAGAATTAGATAAATTCCATTCCTGGGTTCTAGAATTTTTATGATCGTGAATTCCTTTTACATTAAATCTAAAATTTTACACATAATTTGTAAAGTTTTTTAAATGACACGACCTTTTTTTTTCGATGAAATATTATTACACCATTATAAAATTTACAAATAGCAGTTATCGATAAAAAAAATACTGTAAGTGGGGCAATTGCGTACAGTAACAAATTGGGCTTCGTTAATTTATAGTATATGAAAGCATATGGAGTAGATATCGATCTACTCAATATTAATCCCACTGTAAAAGTTGACGCTGTTCTTTTCTTCGTCGTATGCTGTTGTCAGAGTAATCGTGGTGAGCCACTATCATTTACAGACGTATTGATCCAGATCAGTGGAGACCTTCCCCCATATCTGATCTATCAGTATCACTAGTAGTTCAAGATGGTATTAGAAGGTAATACAATACCTGGCTATTGGGTATTGTATTACCTTCTGACTAATACAAGTAATCACGGAAGGTACGTTCTTATGTAAATATTTATGTGTGTCTATGTAATTTTCCTTTTTTATGCAGTAAAGAATATATATTATTACTATATTTACTATAATATATATAATTATGATGGGTACTATTCACCTCATGAAGCTTTTTTAGTTAATAATATTTGATTAAATCTATAAACATAAACGTATGTATGAATAATTTAATATGGCTCTCTTCAAAACAATAGTCATAATTATAAAACTCCTCACGTTCCACCCCCATATAATACCTCGAGAACGTGAAGTAAAGCATTTCTTTATAATATAACCCAACGGCCGAGATGACCAATAAGATAAGTGTGCGGTGCGGTGGAAAAATTCAAAAACTGTGCATCGCATCACACGAGTCTACAGGACGCGTGACCTCTTTACGACATATTAGATGGACCTTCCATTTAATATGCGTACGTGCTAACACCCTACCATGTCCATGTTAAAGAAGTAAACCCCTCTCCATAGGGGGCCAAGGGCTCCGGGGTGTCCGTGGTCAAAAATATAAAGGGCCAAAATTAAATTCCACGCGGCCCATAAAGTATAGAATTACGTCATTATACAGAAATGGCGTCTGAAAATTTCTACTTTTAGCCCAACCGTGTCGCATTTTCGGTGGAGGTTTTTAGTAATGCTTTGTTATATGATCTTTTTTTTTATAAAGATTAAACAAATATCTTGTTACAAATTTGCTGTTCTGTTTTGATATCGACAAATGTGTTATGTTACAAAACTTGTGAATAAAATAATATGTTCCTTATCAGAGGACACAGCTTAATACTATTAAAATGTATTGTCTATACAATTAACGTAACATCGTGGGTGACGTAATTACAGCATTTTAAAGAGTTCCAGATTAAATCAAACGCTGCGTGACGATCGCGCGCGTTGTAACGTGACGGGTCCTCCGGCAAACTTGACGTATTCGTCCGTTAGTAAAGTTCATTCGATCGAATCCACACTTTACTTACACATAAGAATAAGTTCTGAAATGCTTCAACAAAACAAACACACGTGTTCTCACGGTGAATTCGTGAGACTCTAATAGGACAATTTAAAAGTTGCGTTCGACATCAAATGTTAACAAGGAAATAACAACCTTACTGTAGTAGACATAGATGTGTTGCTATACTTCAAAACCGCACTGTTATATTGACTAGTGAAATGAACTGTCGCATGTGCTGTGTTTTGTTTTCATGAAATGATTTCACTGCTCTCTAAAGATATCCTTTTAGGTTTGCTTACGAAGGTGATATCACGGTCACGATTTTGGTGAATGAATCTTTTCTGGTTGTGTTGTTAGGAGTACAGTGGTGATAATATCTCGAATGAATGGAAATTTCAGAATGTTGAATCACTAGAATCGAACTTTGCGAAAGCTAATCTGATTCTTTATTTTTTTCAGGTGAGTCACAACAACATGGGGACGACTGCAGTTATAGTTATATAAGTAAGTAAATCATCAATCTTTATTTTTTTTTTTGGTCCTTTACATAACTGTACATACGCCAATTATAGCTTTTTCTTAACATTATAAAAACATGAAGAAGGCTGATTTTCTTATTTAAAAAAAAGTCGCATATAGTATTTATTTAAATTCAACTTTAAAAAACATCATAAAAAGATACAGCGTGAAAACAGAAATCAGGCACTAGCTTGGAAATGGCGAATAATAAAAGAGAGAAAAAGTGTCGGCACAAAGTTTCTATAATAGCCACTACAATTAAAAAATCCCTCGGAGAAGCGCCTAGCTAAGTTAAAAACAATAATAAGATTGCGAGCCCCACTCCGCACCTTCGGAAATATTTCCATGAAAAGTGGAATTTCTTTAGTTTGATTATGGGCCGACGTAAAAACAATCTAGTTCGAATCTGAAAGTTTGTCGGAGACCCGGCTACTCAATTAATGAACTTTATTATGCACACTGGATCTTTGCTAAAGTTATCGACAGCCAGTTCTTTTGGATATTTATTTACATTGTTTGCAGGTTATTTAATAAAAATGTGTACATTTTATTAAATATTGTTATTCATATTTACACATCTCTGAATAGAGAATTTAAATTGCTTTTATATTGCATTAATTACAATTTTGCTAACGAGTCCCATACAGCTGTTGCTTTGATAGCTTTAGCTTATCAAGTATCAGGACAATTTTCTGAATATAGTAAATTGCTCTGTTCCACTTTTCATCCATACCTAATAGGAGTTATATATTGAATCAACACAGAGTGTGTAAATTATTCGTGTATGATTTTAGAGGAATGTAAGAAGTCATTCAATGATTTTTTAACGATTTACTGCGTCCTATCTCACGAAAACTAAAATTCATTGATTTCTTATGCATTAACAAGCTTCACTAGTATCCAAATCTTTTCCAAGCCAATTTCTTGCACAACGCTTAACACACGAGAGGAAAGAAAGCTCAAACTTAGTCCTCTGTATTTGCAATTCTACCCACGTCGGACTATCCGCATTGAGTCTATCCCTGTTTAACACTACGTATATCTATACCTACGTTCCTTTCTCTGCATTCGATACTGAAAAGCCGATCCCGAGGAAAGCATTTGTTTCGTTTGGAACGCGCTGCTTTCGTATTCGGAGCCGTGGAGTCTGACTCGATTTTTGGATTCCCCTCGTTTGTTACTATTCTGATTTTCTTGAAGGATTTTTACTTTTGAATTTGTAAACAATGACAATCCCAAATGAACTGTAGCGTTTATTTTGTTTTTAAAATGTTTAATTTGTTGAAACGTTAAGAGTAAAAAAACATTGAAAAATGTAGGTAATGTTGTGTACCCATGTAATGGTGATATAATGACAATGCAGTAAACCTCTTTATTAATTTTATGATCAATATCCGGAGGTTAGTAAAGTTCCTCAAAAGTATTTTTGGACTTTTTTATCCTTAAAGAGCGATCTCGTAATAAAAGTCGTGAGTTCACGATATTTTCTATAATGACTTCTAATAAAACAAAATACAAAAGAAAATATAAAAAATATACAAAAACTATCAAAAGGTTTTAACATGATCGTCACCAACCACATTGGCTACAATCCTTATTAATGTTTCTGCTGTTTGTATAAATATAAAAGATTTATTAATAGTTATCATCTGTTTCAAATCATTTTGAATTTAACTTTCCATTTCAATGGCTTCATAGGAAATGTCTGACAGTAACGGTATATTGAATGTTTATCTCAACCATGATTCATTTACAGATTCAGTACTAATAATTTTAAACTCGCACACTTTACCTATAATATTTAATATTAAATCTACTAAATACTGTTTTGTGTTTGATTCGAAGAGGTTTCTACTGTTTTCCTCAAATCAAAATTAAATAGTGTAATATACTTATTCGATTTTAAACAACAGAACCTAATTAACTTAAATATATCCATGTAAATATGTTAAAGCAATCTAATCTTAAAAAAAAAATATACAAGTAACATACTTTACGGCCGGGCGAAAAAAAACATCCCAATAAAAAGCCTGAGAAAGAAGCCACGTAATACGTAGCAATAATAATTATTCATTTTGCTTCAGCTCTCGAAGGTAAGAATCGCTTTCACGGCGCACCTCTGCAAAATATGGTCTTTCATAACTCCGACCAAAAAAATCCACCGTAATTTAATGCTACCCCCGAAAATAATATGTAAAAATACGGCACAGTATAACCTCTACTTTTGGCCGCGCCTGTGAGTGTTCAGGTCCATTCTGGCCATTATGGCCCATCTCAGCGCCGTTATCTGGCCCAAAAGAATAAATCATGATATTATTTTTCCCCCGCAAAGTATTACTTTCCATATCTAATCAGTGATCCGAGAAATATGGGCGCGTTGTTCCGTGCGAATGGCATGCATTCGTGTTTCTACGTGACTACTCGTGGTTTCAGTTTTACTTTTTAAATTTTCGGTAATATAATTAATTTATATTGTAATATTGGTCTTCTTTTGTTGAAATGCAAATTCTGTTAAAAGTTTATCTTAATTAAATTCTTTTCTTTTTTCAATGTTCATATACCAACTAAGATGAATCATAGCTGTGCTTTTGTCCTCTTTTTTTACATAGTATTTTGTATGCATGTTTATGAACAAATAAATGAATATGAAAATGAAAAGATACTTAACATTGGTTCGAAAATCGTATGTATGAATGATTTATATTTATTTAAAACTCCTATAACGACGGGCTCAATGGCGCGGTGGTAACGTTCCTACTATTGCGCCGAGAGTCGTGGGTTCTATCCCCACCCAGGACAAACATTTTTGTGAGTAACAATTGTGTCTGTTCTGTGTCTGGGTGTTTTCTATTTATATTATGTATATCGGCGGGTAGTCAGAAGGGGCTATTACGAAGCCCAAATAGATCGTCCATATCGGAGGACTATCTTTAAAATAACACTGCAGGCGTGTATAACAACGTGGATTTGTTCTATTTTATCACTTTTCATACGAAAATATAACGAGATGAGCGTGATGTCGTCGGATGTCTTTACTCCTCGGCGTTCAGAAACAAAATGTGTGTCAAAATGGCGGCAATTTGGTTTTTGATAACGAACTGTCAAAGTCAGTGTCACCGTTCTAATAAAATTAAAAGTATCGATGATCGCGCTCTCTCTACAATCAAGTAATTAAGTAATCGAGTAACTAGAAATTAAAATAAAAGAAACTAAATTAAACGATCTTCGTAAAGATGATGCGACATGTTTATATTTGTATTACCCTCGTTGTTTCCGATATCCGTAACAAAAGTGCCTAAGCTACTTACCTCGGAATCGGATCAATGTGTGTGATGTCTGATATTTATATTTATTTATATAAATCTTTATCACTAATAATTGCAGAATAAAACCTACGGAGTTAATCTAATTCGATCATTCCAATTTAAAGGAGGTAAATGTCGTAATAGGATTTTAAAGTATAGTAAATAATTAAAATATTTACCTTTTCACTTTAAGATGACTTTTACATAATATATCTGTCCATATTCGAATTTAAATATAAAGAGTTAATCATAAATATAAATGATAACGTGTGCGAAATATAATCACCATGCAGAATAATTATTTTGGAATTAGTTTGAAGTAAATAAATTCACAGACAAATACCACGAAAACCTTGTTATTTCTAATAACAAACCGTATTCACAGTTTTCAAATTTCAAGGAGACAGGTGAAACTTAAAACAGATATTTTGTAGCCCGAGAATAGGGCTGCCAGAGTCCTATTATAAATATAAAGCACATAAGGGTTCGAATTATATTTTTGAGGATATTAGACAGAAATAAAAGTTTTGTGATTATTTCATTTCATACATTTAGGAATATATCAAGGAGTCAATAAGGAAGTTGAGTAACTTCCACAAGGGTCTGTCATAAGATGGGTGATCAAAAAAATTATATCTCAAACTTTTCCATACTTCGGAAGACACCTTAAACGATGTAGCAATCCTCACTGGGCCCACTCTCTCCATTCGATTCTTTTCAATCCATAGGGAAAGCCACATATAGAGTGATGTTTTTGTGGTCAATGCACTCACTGTGATTCACAGTAATTTACTAAAGTCAACCACATATTAGGTTAAGAGCAACCCTATCTAAGCATCTAACCGCAGTTTCTCAACTGGCAAATTTTAATCATGAAATCTTTGTCGCTCGCATAATCAAAGGGAGTACTTAAATTGTCGAGTATTCAGTCGAGTAAGAGTTCTCGGAAGAGATTCTAGAATAATCGATAGAAATAAAAAGGCCAAAAAACATTTATAAACAGAGGGATGGAACTAAAACGTTAACGATACGCCATAAAATACTTTAGCTGTGTATAAGTAGATTCTTAAAATTGTTATGTATGTTACTTTGAAGGATAAATGGATTTTTTCATATAAACAAACATAATATTATACAATGACAGTCAGAAAACCAACGGTTATCTATCCGTTGGTTTTCTGACTCGCGTTTAGACTTTTTATTTTGTTTGCAGCAAAATCATTTACTTTGTAACGATGCGGTTTCATTTAACCGTTTTCTTTGTTTGCGTTCTATACTTGGATCTTATTCCTAGATTATACCCTTTCCAGGTTTTTTTTATGTAATACGTCATTTATGATAATTCATAATTTTAATATTCTTAATGAAAAATGCAGAAAACCCGGTACAATTCGGGTGACTGCGCTAACTACTGAGCTACCCAGCATCTCGACAAATTTTTCAAGCACTTCGCATAGAATGTGTAACATGTAGCACACTCGAGATAGAATGTATGTTACTCACCTCAATTGACATTTAATACATATCAGTTGTAAAAAAATCGTAAAAAAAAAAGTTAGTTATTTTTTATAAAGACTTGTGAAATAGAACAACTATATTAGTTAGCAGTATTCAAAGAGTTGTATCGACATCTTATTGCATAACTTCTAGTGGATAAAGAAAACACGTGTTTTAGAATCG